AATATAGCTTTGCTCCTAAGGGCTCGTTCACACTTGACTGTTTTACCAGTGCTTGCCAAACGCCCCTATAGCATTTGGCAAGCGTTGGTCCGGCGTTTGCGGAGTGTTTTTTAACGCTCCGCAAATGCCGCATGCGCGGTTTAGCGGCGGTTGATAGGCGTTTGCTGAGTGTTAAAAACCCCCCACAAACGCCTATAATGAAGTTTAAATGGTGTTACCGCTCCACAAATGCCCCGCAACCGCGTCGCAAACGCCGGCCGGGCGTTTGCGGAGCGGGGCCATAGACTAGAATAGGAGGGTTCAACGCCTCCTGACTCGACCAGAGGCGTCCGTTTAGCCACGACGCGACACTAACGCTCTCGTTAGAACAGCACCATGTGCTGCAATGTGCAGAATTGTCCAAGGCATTTGGGAAGCGGTAAAAACACTTCCCAAACGCCTCTCTGCCACCTGCACACAACGCTATTGTGAACGTAGCCTAAGACTCGTTGGGATGTATTCATTTTTGCAACATGGTCTTGAATACATAAGGGGGGGCAAAATGCGAGACCACCCCCCAACCCCCTTCCCCGGGTGAAGGAAAAATGTATGTAATGTTTGTGGCATGTGCTGAAATAATACCAGTAGTTGTGGTACACTGCAATGAACTGAATAGTTTAAAATTGGTGCACAAGTGTGGGACTAACAGTGGCAAAGAAAAAAAAAATGCCCCAATATCAGATGTTACTAAAACGAAAAAAAAAATGTCCCTGTGTCAGGAATCAAAAAAATGCAACTACATTGCTGAAGTCAGTCTAAGGAGGACTGTCAGAGGGATGAAGGAGGGAAGGAGAGTTGGGCTCTGAGGGGTGCATAGAACTAAAGAGATCTAGGTGGGTTCAGAGAAAGGAAGCAGGGCTGAAAATGTTCTAAGGCAGTCGTAGGCAAGCTGTGGCCCTTCAGCTGTTGTGGAACTAAATTTCACATGAAGCATTGCAAGACTGGAGTTACAACCATGACTCCCTGAGGCAGAGGCATGATAGGACTTGTAGTTCTACAACATCTGGAGGGCCGCAGGTTGCCCAACCCAAGGGCTTGTACAGATATGCAGCATTTGCTTCCCTTCTGTAAAATGTTCTGTGGCAGATCATTGGCGATGTATCACCTACTTGCTGCGTATTTTACCCACTGAACAACTGCACTGCATTTGTGTGCATTGCCATGTTGTGTGCAATTGCATGTCATTTTACTGTAATTTTTGTCTTGGTCCCAAAGCAAAGCATCATGGCCATGGCATGTGTACAGCTCTGACCATCTGCTTCTCCTTGTTCGGGTTGGTGGTTGGGGGGGGGGGGGTCAACTGCTTGCTTTTGCTGCCCTTCATCTGCCCCTGTTAACTAACATTAAAGTATTTTTAACATTTATGGTTGGGAGAGATGGGGACAGTAAATAAAGGTGATTGAACTAAGAGCGGAGGTCTGAATTTCCCTCCCTCCCATGTATTCACAGATCACAGTCTTAACACAGTGCTGCCCAAAAGGCAGTTTCTTCATTCCCTCTCCAGTCATGTGATATGAGAAAAGTCTCAGTCTCAGCACTGGTTCTCTTTTGTTCCCAGCAAGCTGGAGGGAGGTGAAAGCCAAATTATCTCTCCAGCAGCTATCAGCTGTTGCTCCATCTCACAGGAGTGACACTATAGTCACTCCTCTCAGTGTGGAGCGGGATGAATAGAGAAATTGCCAGCATGCCTCCACTCAACAGGAGCCCGAGGCCCATGCCCCTTCTTTACCTTACCTACCTGGTCATACTGGCATCATGGCACTTCTCTTTGGAGTATGTGGATAGTATCTTGGCAATTGCTATTGCCATTTTTTTCCATACCACTTCTAACTACTGTGGTCCTATAAGGCTGTCATCTACTTTAAAGTGACCTTCACATTTTTTATAAAATTAAATAAATGCAATATGTTTAAATATAAGTAGAATGTACTTTCTATCTCTCCCTTGTTTTGCTTCATCTCTGAAATGCAAGCTTTTTTCTGCTATTGTCAAACTTCCTTTTCTAAGGTGACTATGTTTGTTCTTCATGCCCCCCTTGGGTATGGGAACATAGCCACTCTTCCCTGCTCACCCCTGAGACTGACTAGACATCTTTATGCAGACATATTGAGCTCTATGGGAGTTAAAGTATGCATAGAGTGGAGCAACAAGAAAAAATGTTACTGCTCACTCTAGAATAGTGGAGGTGAGATGCATTAGTGGAGGAAAGGGAGTGTGCCCAAGCCTGAAGAAAAAAAAAACAGAGCAATGGTATAGTTTGTATTTTAGAACAATTGATGTAAAAATTGAGTTTAGTGTCAAGCTAACTGTCCACACTTATGTTGAAAGAAAATTACTGCTCTACTGCTCTTCAGTAACATGTCTTATCATAGTGGATAACGTTGTACGTTGTGTGTAGATTTAATTTAAAGTATATATAAGCCAAACATTTCATATTCCTGATACAGTATGTGCCTGCTGTACCATGTACTTGTATGAAAAATTATCCAGTCCCTCTGCTTTCCTATTAAAAACTGACCACACTAGTCATGAGAGCATGGCATGGTCAGTTTTCAAGCTGTGCTGAGAACTCGGTTTGCTCTCCTGCATACCCCCCTCCCACACACACACACAAAAACCATTTGCTGGGAAGATCAGTGTGCTGCTATTTTCCTCTCCAAGCTTTCTGAGGCCCTTACACGGATGAGAACAGAAGGTATATCCTCACTTATAGAAAAGGGGAAACATTTCTTTATAATGTTTTTTAGTTGAATACACAAATGTTTTGCCCTATTTCTATTTTAAACTGACTGGGTTGTTTTACAAGGTGAAGGTTTACCTACAGTGAGGCAAATAAGTATTTAGTCAGCCACCAATTGTGCAAGTTCTCCCACTTAAAAGATGAGAGAGGCCTGTAATTGGCATCACAGGTAGACCTCAACTATGAGAGACAAAATGAGAAAAAAAATCCAGACAATCACATTGGCTGATTTGGAAATAATTTATTTGCAAATTATGGTGGAAAAAGTATTTGGTCACCTACAAACAAGCAAGATTTCTGGCTCTCACAGACTTGTACCTTTTTCTTTAAGAGGCTCCTCTGTCCTGCACTCATTACCTGTATCAATGGCACCTGTTTGAACTTGTTATCAGTATAAAAGACACCTGTTTACAACCTCAGACAGTCACACTCCAAACTCCACTATGGTGAAGACCAAAGAGCTGTCGAAGGACACCAGAAACAAAATTGTAGACCTGCACCAGGCTGGGAAGACTGAATCTGCAATAGGCAAGCAGCTTGGTGTGAACAAATCAACTGTGGGAGCAATAATTAGAAAATGGAAGACATACAAGACCACTGATAATCTCCCTCGATCTGGGGCTCCACGCAAAATCTCACCCTGTGGGGTCAAAATGATCACAAGAACGGTGAGCAAAAATCCCAGGACCACACGGGGGGACCTAGTGAATGACCTGCAGAGAGCTAGGACCAACGTAACAAAGGCTACCATCAGTAACACACTACGCCGCCAGGGACTCAGATCCTGCAGTGTCAGACGTGTCCCCCTGCTTAAGCCAGTACATGTCTGGGCCCGTCTGAAGTTTGCTAGAGAGCATTTGGATGATCCAAAAGAGGATTGGGAGAATGTCATATGGTCAGATGAAACCAAAATAGAACTGTTTGGTAGAAACACAACTCGTCATGTGTGGAGGAGAGAGAGTGCTGACTTGCATCCAAAGAACACCATACCTACTGTGAAGCATGGGGGTGGCAACATCATGCTTTGGGGCTGTTTCTCCGCAAAGGGACCATGTATTATGCGATTTTGAGTGCAAACCTCCTTCCATCAGCAAGGGCATTGAAGATGGAACGTGGCTGGGTCTTCCAGCATGATAATGATCAAAAACATACTGCCCGGGCAACGAAGGAGTGGCTTCGTAAGAAGCATTTCAAGGTCCTGGAGTGGCCTAGCCAGTCTCCAGATCTCAACCCCATAGAAAACCTTTGGAGGGAGTTGAAAGTCCGTGTTGCCCAGCGACAGCCCCAAAAGACAATTACAGGCCTCTCTCATCTTTTTAAGTGGGAGAACTTGCACAATTGGTGGCTGACTAAATACTTTTTTGCCCCACTGTATATGTTAACACTACTACTATTACTACTACTGTTTAGCATTCTTGTGTGTTAGTCTTATATAAGGACAGTAAGGGGCTGTTCAGAACTCTCATTCTCCTTTATATTACCCTCTTACATGGTTTTATATCTCCTTGTTTAATTTTTTTTTTTCAGTTCATTGAGGGGGTTACAGTGTTCCATATCCAATAACACACTTACTTTACAAGATGTTGTGCATGTAAGGTGGTGAAAATATGTACACTGCAAACCAGCTTTTGTCAGCCTCTTTAACATGAAGGAACCCATGAAATAAATTTCAGGTCTCAGGAAACCTCTTCTAATATTATACAGTTACTACAGTTTATGAGACATTATCGTGAACAGTAAATTGTAGATATAAAGATTAAAAAAAAAAATGTGCTGTACTAAGGGCTGCTTTATATTATTTTCAATAAACATAATGAAATGAAATAAATGGCCAGAAAATAAACACAGTTAAAATAGTACTGTTCTCTTTATTGGCTGATACGTGGGAAAGCTACCCTACATTGATGGTTATAGGAGACGTGGCCCCTTACACTCGGTGGTCAGTGGGAAGAATACCCCTGTTACAGATGCCTGAAAAGTAGTAGTTTATCTGAGAGAAAATAATTGCCCATTGCTCCTGGGAAATTTAGCAACCTTTGGAGGAACCCTGGTTGAGAAAGGCTGTTATATGCATAAGAGATGTAGCAACTGCAACAGAAACATTTTTGGGATAAAACAAAAGTTTATTTTGCCTTTTAAACTGTGTAATAGTTCTCATGGAGTGGAAGCTTAACATAAAACCATGAAGTGTGTTTTCAGGCTGGATGTTGGTAGTACATGCTCATTTGTGTTTAGGGGTAATAGGACGCTTGTTGCGTTTCTCTGATTTCAGATATCCACTCAACTTTGGACGGGTGGCAAGGTGTTGAATGTAAGCTGAGAGGAGAGGGAAGGAAGCTAAACATTTTGGGTCAAGGTCAAGGTGACAATGAAGCATGTCCAGGAGATTGTAGTCAGCATATGAGATCTGCAACAACAAAAGCATGAAACATCAGCTTCAAATCTCATACAATCTATTTCGTTTTAACGGTTTTAACCGATCCCAATGCTCATTTCTATTTCCCAACTATATTTTATTGCTGTGGCCCTGTTTGGGACTTTTCTACTTTCTCCATGCTTGTCTTGGTTGCACCTTGTGTGTCAGAGTGTGACAGGAGGTCACCAGAACATAAAGAAAAGGTAACCTGAAAGTTGATTCTGTTAAGAATGGCTAGAAAAGAATATCTAAGAGAAATATTTGCTACAATTTGATTTTAAAGCTGCATGCACCCCATTTCCCACAAATAACAGCTTTTTTTTATCCAACTAGTCCTTGCTTCTTTTTATTAATACCTACATTATCTATCTGCCTAACATTGAAGACAAATACTACCATTTTCTAAGTCAAAAATAAATCATCTAGAGAAACACTTCTGAATTGCTTTTAAAGTATCGCTTACAGTGAAAAACCTATCCTAGGTCAGGTAGAAATATCTGAGAGATAGCACAAAATATGATTCTATATCAATATTTTGAAATCTGCCTCCTCTGGTATTTCATCACTTAATGCCAACACTTCCATTGTATATTTGGTTTTAAATTTAAACATTTAAATAAAGTGCCACACCACTGCTATTCTAATAAATGTCAGATGGAAAATCCAAAAAGTATCCAATGCATTTCTAGGGATAAATAGACTACAACAGAACTAGTGAATAGTGTGTTTACAAGCACAGGTCTTGTCAGCAGCTGGTTTGACATTGTTGTCAATCAAGTCTTGATGATAGGGGACTCTTGGACCCTCAAAATGTATTGGCTACCTTTTGGATTGTCCCACTGATTTTTATAAAGTTGTATCTGGACCTCTTAGCAGCAATTTCAATTTTGGTTACATTACACTACAAGCCAAAGAGACCATGGAGATCCTCTAGGGTGTAGAAGCTGCTTGCCCAGGAACCAAATTATATACATCAACATCAATACTTAAAGATAGCAATACCTGTGAGATAACCCTATGGGTGCAGCGCTATTTTTACATTTTCCTCAACTAAGTTTATATTGAAGAAGCTGTGCAAATAAAGGTAGATAACACATTTCTACCAGGGTTGAGTATCTGCTTGGAATTCTACTTGTGTAGTATTATTAACCTCCCTAACGGTATTCCCGAGTGTAGCTCGGGGTAAACTGTCTATACCAAAAGCGGTAACCCCGAGCTACACTCGGGCTTACCATGCGGCGCTGCATAGGGAGTCCCTGCAGCACTTACCTTGTCCTTGGCTCCCGCGATGTGTCCCCTGCAGCGTCCCCGGCCATCTCCTCCGGGTGATGCCAGAATCCGCCTCCTGTGTTCCGGTCCCTGTGACGTCGGGACGTACGGGCACCGCCAGCGGCGGGAAATTTGAAAATTTAAAAAAAATTTCATTTTTTTCAAACTGATTTTACATAGTAAAACATTGCTGTTTCAACCTATTTCACATACATTTTGTCCCTAGTGCTTTGTCCTGTCCCCTGTCTGCATTTTGATTGTTCTTTCTGCCTGGAAACGTAGAAAAGTCCATGGCGTCCAAAAAGTGTCCCTTTAGGTCAAAAGCGGGTTTAGATCAGCTAGAGAACAGCGATAGTAAATCAGAACCACTTGCAGAATTGAGTGATAATGATTCGTGGAGAAATTTGTCATCAGACACTGAAAACAATTTTGCGACTTTGCTCAGTGATGTGCGAACTTGGTGCTATATTTCAAATTTCAGTGTTTTTGGTTTGATTATATTATTGAATTAAATGTATGATTTAGAATCTTGTTCAGACAGATTTCAGTGAGTTATTCCTAAAAATTACAGCCTACAATAAAAAAACTACATATTTCCATGCAAAATAATGGTACCGCTTTCAGCACCAAAAATATGAAATAATCATACCGCTAGGGAGGTTAAAAGGCTTTGTCCATTTCTCCATGTCAAAATGGTAAAAGGGAACCTGCTGAGCAGAGTAGGGACAGTTTAATTTGTGAATTCTTCTCTGCTGTCTTTCTTCATACATTTTCTCTGGACCTGTGCTCGGATTTCTGGTAAAGTGTAGGTGGAGGAGAACACTAAAGATACCAAACATTGAGAACTTCAGAACTTTTAAATTGTGAGGATCACTGAAGTAAGTGTAGTTTACACTCACATCCACCATTTGGTAGTTTGAGGTGGAGTCACTCTTTTAACCACTTCCAGACCGGACACTTTTACCCCCTTCCTGACCAGGGCAATTTTCAGCTTTCAGCGCTATCACCCTTTGAATGACAATTGCGCGGTCATGCAACACTGTACCCAAATGAATTTTTTACCATTTTTTTGAGACAGATAAAGCTTTATTTTGGTGGTATTTATTCACCACTTCGATTTTTATTTTTTTTGCTATGTAAATGAAAACGTCCAAAAATATTGAAAAAAAGAGTTTTTTAAAAAAACATTTTGCAAATAAATAATATTTCATCATAAATCTTGGCCAAAATTTATTCCGTTATCTTTTTAGTAAAAAAAAAAAAATCCAAATTAGTTTATAACTAAAAATTATAATTTTTAAACTTTTTTTTTTTACATTTTTATTTTATTTTTTTATATTATTATTTTTTATTTTTATTTATTTTTTTACATACTGTCACCGTAGCAGTACAGTGTTACCATGGTGACACTGTACTACTTGTGGGGGGGTGATGAAGATTTATTTTTTTTTTTTTTTTACACTGATTGCTTTTACACCCATATAGGATGTAAAAGCAATCATTTCTCTTTCTCTCTGTCTGCATTCTTGCACTCATTGAGAAGTACTGAGTGAGCTGTGATCAGTCACAGCTTGTCACATGGTGCAAGGCTGTTGTGAATAGCCTTGTACCATGTGACCTCTGTGATCTTTCACAGATTTCACAGGTAGTAAGCAATGATGTCACAAATTACTTTGCATGTGATCACTGATTGGCCAATCAGTGATCACATGATCGGGACCTCGTACAGAGGTCCCATTCGACGATCGGTGTTTCACTGTGCCCGGAGGACACAGCGGGCACCGGATCGCGGTGCTACGCGCTCCCAGGGAGCGGCCACCCGACCCTGCAGTGCCACCATCCGGCCGTTTATATGCAACGGCCAGTCAGGAAGTGGTTAACCACTTCTAGACCGGACACTTTTACCTCCTTCCTGACCAGGGCCATTTTCAGCTTTCAGCGCTATCACACTTTGAATGACAATTGCGCGGTCATGCAACACTGTACCCAAATGAATTTTTTACCATTTTTTTTAGACAGATAAAGCTTTATTTTGGTGGTATTTATTCACCACTGGGATTTTTATTTTTTTTTGCTTTGTAAATGAAAAAGTCCAAAAATATTGAAAAAAAGAGTTTTTTTAAAAAAACATTTTGCAAATAAATAATATTTCATCATAAATCTTGGCCAAAATTTATTCCGTTATCTTTTTAGTAGAAAAAAAAATCCAAATTAGTTTATAACTAAAAATTATAATTTTTAAACTTTTTTTTTTTACATTTTTATTTTATTTTTTTATATTATTATTTTTTTTTTTTATTTATTTTTTTACATACTGTCACCGTAGCAGTACAGTGTTACCATGGTGACACTGTACTACTTGTGGGGGGTGATGAAGATTTATTTTTTTTTTTTTACACTGATTGCTTTTACACCCATATAGGATGTAAAAGCAATCATTTCTCTTTCTCTCTGTGTGCATTCTTGCACTCATTGAGAAGTACTGAGTGAGCTGTGATCGGTCACAGCTTGTCACATGGTACAAGGCTGTTGTGAATAGCCTTGTACCATGTGACCTCTGTGATCATTCACAGATTTCACACGTAGTAAGCAATGATGTCACAAACGACTTTGCATGTGATCACTGATTGGCCAATCAGTGATCACATGATCGGGACCTCGTACAGAGGTCCTATTCAACGATCGGTGTTTCACTGTGTCCGGAGGACACAGTGGGCACCGGATCGCGGTTCTGCGCGCTCCCAGGGAGCGGCCACTCGACCCTGCAGTGCCACCATCCGGCCGTTTATATGCAACGGCCGGTCAGGAAGTGGTTAACCACTTCTAGACCGGACACTTTTACCCCCTTCCTGACCAGGGCCATTTTCAGCTTTCAGCGCTATCACCCTTTGAATGACAATTGCGCGGTCATGCAACACTGTACCCAAATGAATTTTTTACCATTTTTTTGAGACAGATAAAGCTTTATTTTGGTGGTATTTATTCACCGCTGGGATTTTTATTTTTTTTGCTATGTAAATGAAAATGTCCAAAAATTTTTAGAAAAAAAGGTTTTTTTTTTTTATAAAATTTTGCAAATAAATAATATTTCATCATAAATCTTTGCCAAAATTTATTTTATTATCTTTTTAGTAAAAAAAAAAATCCAAATTAGTTTATAACCAAACATTTTAATTTTTAAACATTTTTTTTTACATTTTTATTTTATTTTTTTTATATTATTATTTTTTATTTTTTTTTTTTTTTACATACTGTCACCCTAGCAGTACAGTGTCACCATGGTGACACTGTACTACTTGTGGGGGGTGATGAAGATTTTTTTTTTTTTTTTTACACATTGCTTTTACACCCATATAGGATGTAAAAGCAATCATTTCTCTTTCTCTCTGTGTGCATTCTTGCACTCATTGAGAAGTACTGAGTGAGCTGTGATTGGTCACAGCTTGTCACATGGTACAAGGCTGTTGTGAATAGCCTTGTACCATGTGACCTCTGTGATCATTCACAGATTTCACACGTAGTAAGCAATGATGTCACAAGTGACATCATGCTTACTACTTTGCATGTGATCACTGATTGGCCAATCAGTGATCACATGATCGGAACCTCGTACAGAGGTCCTGTCCGACGATCTGTGTTTCACTGTGTCCGGAGGACACAGCGGGCACCGGATCGCGGTGCTGCGCGCTCCGAGGGAGCGCGCACAAGCAGGGTGCGGGAGGCCGTTTATAAACGGCCACCCGACCCTGCACTGCCACCGTCCAGCCGTTTATATGCAACGGACGGTCGGGAAGTGGTTAAGTAGTGCTGTTACTTCCTCACTGTATGACATAACTGTAGGTACAGTATATATGCTGTGTCTATCAGTTCCTCTTACAAAACTACACTTACAAGAAAAGTGTAGGGGCTCATTTACACCTGCTTCAAAATTTGGCATTGGACATTCTTTTTTAACGTGCTCTGAATGACAATCAAAGCACCTGTCACTAAATAAAATGGTAAGCTTACAGTCCTAAAACAAATGAAAGTGTTAAAAATGCATGAAACAACTGTCAGAATCAAACAATGGGGAACAAGACCCTACCTGTCGGAACGATGTAGGAACGCTGACGTCACCTTACTCGTATCATCACACACCACGTGACTTCACCACGTGACCTCTTATGAAGTCACATGGTGTGTGACGATACGCGTAAGGTGACGTCAGTGTTCCTACATTGTTTCGACAGGCAGGGTCTTGCTCTCCATTGTTTGATTCTGACAGCTGTTTCATGCGTTTTTTAACACTATTTTCATGTCAGTTCATATGCTTTAATAAATATTTGCCTTTTAAAGAAGCCTACTGCACTATGGTCTACTTTTTGGTTGTCAAGCTTTATCCACAAAGTTGACTGTACTGAAATCGGGTGCCATTTGTAAAGGTCCAGTGGTGATTCATAATGGGAAGAGTGCACAGAGGAGCAAGTTATGTATTACCCCCACTAATAGGGGAGATGCTTTGTTTGACCTGTGTCCACATATAGGTCCATGCAAGAAGGTGAGAGTCCACCTGGAAGTCTATGTTCACTGTGGGGATTCACATGTACAGTATTGAAGATTTACAGCACTGGGATTTTGGGCTCAATCACCAGCAGGCAGATTTTTCACTTATTTGGGTTTTTTTTTTGAAGAACTGTGTTTATTTTTGATCATATTTTGGGACTATCAGTCACGTTTTTGTTCGTATATTCATATGTATTGATTTATGCTAGCAGAGCAACACTTTCATTTCTGTTTTCTATGTTTACACACATAACACGTGTTCGCAGCTGCTCATCCATTATTATTCTCAATATTTGGCAGCGCACGATTTTCTTTTGCCTTTAAGCTTACAGTCCTGTTTACACATTGCGTTTGCCTTTCTTTGCTTCACTTCAAAAAATATACCTCATGTCGTATTTCTTGGCACTTCAAAGCATCTCCAAAGCCTCCTTAGAAGTCTGAAAAAGCTTCACTTTGTTTTGGAGGTATTGCAGATATGAGATATCCCAGGATGCACTGGGAAACCAGCAAGCGAACTAGAATGATGTCATCAACAGCCATCTCCGGTTCATGTGTATATATTCTGGGAGTGTCTGGTGCAGACATCACATCTGGTGTGCAGCGTGGAGCGTCATGAAGATGAGCGGGGTTCAGACAGGAGTGGGGCAACTAGCAGATGGCACATGCAGTGTGCAATATGGGAACGCAATAGTGGAAAAGTGAACGGGAACCAGATAGAGAAGAGTGGCAGATTATCAGCAGAGCTCGGGGACCAGAGCAGGAGACATTAGATATTTCACATGTGGTGTGCAGCATTGGAGCAATATAGCAGGAGGGGAGAAGGGACCAGAGAGAGAGGAGGAACAGCAAACCAGATGATCAGCAGAGCTGGGGGTTACTGCTGAGTGAGGGATCAGCAGAGCTGGGGATTACTCATCAAAGCATTTTGAAGCAGTAGGCGCTTAAATGTGTGTTAAAGTCGAAGCAATTGTAAATGAGCCCTAAGGGTTTAATAATCATGAAACATGTTTCAGAGCAAAAAAATAATTTGTTTTGACTGATGTTACCTTATCTCCCACTACAAATTTGGTTCCATTTGCATTATTAGAAAGTATCCTTTCAAATGGTGAAAGCTGATTACATAGATCCTTCAAGTATTTCTCCTTCCCAGTTTCCTGTGAAATTAAAATAATTACATGTTAACAGTGCTTTCTAAAATAGCATTATACACACTATACAGTATATGCATACATATTATATACATATACTTAAAGTGTATCTAATGGCAAAACTCTTATTAAAATTCTGAATGAGAGGAGTGGTGAGAGGTGATAAGCTCTCTCAGATTTTTGCTGTCTTTGTCCCTGTTTTAGAAATTCACTCTATTTGTCCTTTTGGCAAATGTCACCATGACTGAAAGTGATGGAAAATTAAAATTTTGTCATGAAAACAGATATAAATACAGATGGCAACCAATTGACAGGAGTTTTAACTATTTCCTACTCTATAAAAAATAAATAAAAAAAGTTTTGGCTTTAGACATACTTTAAACTCTTATTAAATTTTTCAGAGATGCAATAAGATTCCTTATTGAACGCTTTGCTTGACTTTTCTCACTTAAATTTGGTGATAAACTGTGTATATGAACGGGAATGCACAGATTAGGGTTAAACTTTATGGGGATTATTGATCAAAATGAAAACTGTAGAAATAGGAAGAGAAAGCCCGACTGCAGATCTATTCTCCAAGCCATGCTCCAGAGGCTGGGCAAACATGTTGGAGGCATGGTTTGGATGAATCAAGCTGAGGTTGCTTTTACCTGCTAACCACTTGGGCTAGGTGAGGTGTGCGGCGGTCAGGCTATCTCCTCCTATTTCTACCATATACTTTCCCCAGCCTGCACCCTCACTAATAGGCTGAGTAGGGGACACTAAGCATTTATCATGGGTTGCAATAATCAAACTGCAAGATATGATAATGGATGTTAAAATGGCTTTTAAAATTATATCCTGTCATGTCTACTCAGCCATTAAATAGGATACACTGCTTGTCTCCTCTACTGCTGACTGGGTCATCCCTCTACTATTTATTGATAGGGAGTTCATGGGATTATAAGGTCAGTACCTTATAAAGAATCTGATAAAGAATTACTGTAGTTTCTTACTGGGTGTCAATAGCCGACTGGCGGTAGCCTCTAGCGACTCACAGACCGGAATTCCTCAGGGCGCGGAATCTAAGCCTCAGTCTGGTGGTGGGGATGGATTTGAAGCAGCCTGAGACCAGGTCGCGACCCCCAAGTACAACCAACTGTTGTAGAGGCAGCCGCCAATGGCGGATAACAGGTGAGAGCCAGACGCGAAGAGGTATAAAGTAGTCAGACAGGCCAGGTTGGTAACAGCGGAGCAAATAGTACAGAGTGGTAGGCAAAAGAATAAGCAGGTCACGGGTCAGGTTTGGCAACAGGAGATCAGGCAATCAGGATCAGGCAGAGAATAGTCAGGACGAGCAAGAGGTCAGAGCAGGAGAGGACAACAGGATCAGGAACAGGCTGGGTCAGCAACAAATCAATCAAGGATACAGGAGCAATCAGGAACACAGGAAACAAGACCAATACAGCAGTTTGGAGGAGCACAGGGCTAGTTTAAATAGTGCGCCCTGTGCTCTCATTGGTGCCAGGCGTGGGTCCGCAATTGGGAGTGCGCATGCACGGCGGCTGCCGCGATCGCCCAAGCCCCAGTGCTCGCCGGCTAACACGCATCGGCGTTCTGCGCATGCGCATACCTGTATGCTGCCGAGATTCCTGACATTGCCCCCCCCCCCCTACGGGCAGCCTCCGGATGCCCAACTGACCTCTCCTTTGTGGGTGGTTGCGACAAAATTCTCGGATCAATCTGGGAGCGTGAACGTTTTGGGCTGGTTCCCATGAATTTTCCTCCGGGCCATAGCCTTTCCATTTAATGAGGTATTGTATCTGACCTCCTCTCTTCCTGCAATCCAAGATTGCCTCCACTTCAAACTCCTCCTCTCCATCAATGTCCAGAGGTACCGGAGGTCTTGATCTGCGATCTGGGAAAGGATCTGGAGTTGTGCGCTTCAACAGGGATACGTGGAACACTGGGTGTATCCTGAAAGATTCGGGCAGTGCTAATTCAAAGGCTACTTCATTGATCTGCCGTTTCACCGAAAAAGGCCCCACGAATTTGGGTGCCAACTTCTTTGATGGGCATGCCATCTTCAGGTTGGTCGTTGCCAACCAAACCTGATCTGCTGGGTGTAAGACCAATTCCCCCTTTCTCCTTTTATCAAATGTTTTTTTTGTTATCCTCCTGGGCCATTGTCACTGCTTAGTGTAGTAACTTGTTGGAAGTGAAAAAATTTAACGCTTCTTGAATCAGATCCGGTAGAAAAGTGGGATGGAACCCGAAATTGGCGTAAAATGGAGACTGCTTCGTGGCGGAATGGTTTGTATTATTATATACGAATTCTGCTAGGGGCAGGAGTGCCAGCCAATCGTCCTGAAGAAAAGAGGTATAGCACCTAAGGTATTGCTCCAACGCCTGGTTGGTCCCATCCATCTGCCCGTTTGTTTGCGGGTGGTATGCCAATGAAAATGACAGCTTAATCGCCAACATTTCGCACAGAGCTCTCCAAAACTTTGACGTAAATTGGACTCCCCGATCTGATACTATGTTCCTAGGAACTCCATGGAGCCTTACTATTTCTTTAATGAAGAGTTTGTGCGGTCTCGGGAGCGGAAGGTGTATTCCTGAGCGACAGAAAGTGAGCCATCTTGGATAAGCGGTCGACCACCACGAATACTGCGGTCTGGCTTTGTGAAGGTGGTAGTTCCACAATAAAATCTATGGAGACCATACTCCACGGTCTGTCAGGTACCGGTAAGGGTTGTAGTAGGCCCCATGCTTTACTCCACGTAGGCTTATTTCTGTTACAGATATCACAGGTCTTGACGTAAATTTCACAATCCTTGGCCATACTTGGCCACCAAAATGTGCGCTGGATCAGCTCTAGTGTTTTACCTATTCCGAACTGTCCTGTCAATGGGTGGTTGTGACAGTAGCCCAAGACCAGGGTTTGAGCTTCTTCAGGAACCACAATCTGTTCCCCCTTCCATAACAATCCTTCTCTGTTTTGTACCGAGACTCCGGATGGCTTGGGGGCCCCCATAGATGCGGCTTGTAACTTTGACAGGAGTTCTGACTGTAGTAGCAGAAAGTTACCCGCTGGCAGAATAGTATCAGGTTTAGGAGTTTCTTGAGGATCTTCGAACATCCGTGACAGGGCGTCGGGTTTTGTGTTCTTAGAGCCAGGTCAGTAGGTTATGTGGAATGTGAATCTCGAGAAAAACAACGCCCATCTAGCTTGCCGTGGTCTAAGGCGTTTAGCTGTCCTTAGGTACTCCAAGTTTTTGTGGTCTGTATAGACCAAGACTGGGTGCAGGGCTCCTTCCAATAAGTATCTCCACTCTTCTAGTGCATTTTTAATTGCCGGGAGTTCCCGGTCCCCAATATCGTAGTTCTTCTCCACCTAGGTGAGCTTCCTAGAAAAGAAAGCTACTGAATGCATGAGTTCTTTTACGCCTTTTCTTTGTGACAGTACCACTCCTACTGCGTTTTCGGATGCATCTACCTCCAAAATGTACGGCAGGGATGCATCCGGGTGACTTAAGATGGGGGCTGCCGTGAAAACTTTTTTTTTTTAGGGTCTAGAAAGCAACCTGCGCCTCTGGTGTCCAATGAAAACATACCCCCGATCTTGTAAGTTGGGTGAGAAACCAGGCCTGAGAAATTCTTAATGAATTTTCGATAAAAGTTTGTGAAGCCAATAAACCGCTGAACGCCTTTCTTATCTGCGGGTACTGGCCATTCCAGAATTGCATAGATCTTCTGGGGATCCATGGCAATTCCCGAGGTGGAGATGATTAGCCCCAGGAACTGGATACTGTATTGCTCGAAGCTGCACTTCTCTGCCTTGGCGTAAAGTCCGTACTGGCGAAGCCGCTCCAGCACGTTCCTGACGTGACCTCGATGTGCCTCCAGGGATGGGGAAAAAATCAGAATATCGTCCAGATAAACTACCACGAAGATATCCAGATAATCTCTGAAAATGTCATTTATGAAGTGTTGAAAGGTGGCCGGGGCACTGCACAACCCGAATGGCATAACCGGATACTCAAAGTGCCCGAATCGGGTGCGAAAAGCTGTATTCCACTCATCCCCTTGGCGTCCAGGTGGAGTAGTTCCTGATGGTGCCCCGCTACTGTGGTGTGGATCGGAGGGGTCTCTCGGTCTACCAACCTGGACTTTATCCGAGACCCGTCAGCCAAATAGATATTCAGGCCCTGTTCTTTGGTCTGCAAGGGAATTTGCTGATGAGCTGCAAAGCCAAGATCAATAAAGCAGCTACAGTCTCCTGAATCAATAATGGCCGTCACTGGTACGGTTCCTCCAGGGAGCTGGAAAGAAATAGGCACAGCTAGGTGAGTTGCGTTATTCAGGCAGGTAGGAGACACAGAAGAAGGGACAGATGCACACTTACTCATCTTTTCAGGGCAAGAGTGTACTATATGGCCAGCTGCTCCACAATACAGACATAAATTATTCAGCCGACGCCTCTGGCGTTCTTCAAAAGTCAGAGAGGGCCGCATCAGTCCGATCTGCATCGGTTCAGGCCCATCAGCCATCTCCGAACCTCGATTCCTTACTGGAGCATTCGGCTGGATCAGGATTCGAGGTAACACCCATGTTGGTCTGGAGCTAGGATTGGCCCTTTCTTGCCGATGCTCCCACAGGCTGCGGTCGATTTGAATGGCCAGGCTAATCAAATCCTCCAATGTGTCAGGTATGCCTACTCTGGCCAGCTCATCCTTAAGTGGGTCAGACAGACCTAAATGAAATTGGTGACACAGGGCTGCGTCGTTCCACTGTGTGTCTCCGCTCCAGCTCCTGAATTCGGCCGCATAATCCTCCGCTACCCGGCGGCCTTGTTGCAGGGTATGTAGAGCCGCCTCAGCAGAAGCGGCTCGTTGCAGATCGTCATAAATTGTGCCATCGCTTTAAAAAATGACAAAACAGAGTCCAAACGTGAATGATGATCCTCCATCAAACGATCCCCATTAAAACGCTCGGGCGTTGGTACTCGAGGTTCCAGTGGAGGAATGGTGAACATGGCTCTGGCAGATGATTCTGCGGAGCCCCGGACCGGGGACGGATTAGCTGTGGCTGATGGCGTGGCTGTTGGTGTGGTTAGAGTCTGAATCCGTCCCTCCAGATGTGTGTACCCCTCCTGAAGTGTCTTCACAGCCTGGGTAAGTGCCGCCAGGTGTTGGCATATCTCATCCAGGGGTGAGGGGCCTCTTCCTGGCTCAGTCATGGCCGTATGGTTCTGTTAAGAGCCGACTGGTGGTAGCCTCTAGCGGCCCACAGACCGGAATTCCTCAGGGCGCGGAATCTAAGCCTCAGTCTGCTGATTCACCAGAGCCCTTGACAGTGGGGATGGACTTGAAGCAGCCTGAGACCAGGTCGCGACTCCCAAGTACAACCAGCTGTGGTAGAGGCAGCCGCCAATGGCGGATAACAGGTGAGAGCCATACGTGAAGAGGTATAACCTAGTCAGACAGGCCAGGTTGGAAACAGCGGAGCAAATAATACAGAGCAGTAGGCAAAAGAATAAACAGGTCTCGGGCCAGGTTCAGCAACAGGAGGTCAAGGCAATCAGGATTAGGCAGAGAATAGTCAGGACGAGCAAGAGGTCAGAGCAGGAGAGGACAACAGGATCAGGAACAGGCTGGGTCGGCAACAAATCAATCAAGGATACAGGAGCAATCAGGAACACAGGAAACAAGACCATACGGCAGTGCACCCTGTGCTCTCATTGGTGCCAGGCGCACGTCCGCGATCGTGAGTGCGCATGTGCAGCCGCCGCGATCGCTCAAGCCCCAGTGCTCGCCGGCTAATGCGCATTGGCGTTCTGCGCATGCGCATACCCGTATGCTGCCGAGATTCCTGACACTGGGTCTCTGGCCAAAACTCCTTGTTTTAGATAGTCGGGAAGTGTTAAAACCCCTGTCAACTTTCTTTTCTGCTATCTTTATATCATTACCTTCACAGATATCACCTGGTCAGGTATGCCCTTTGTTAAATTTCTCTTTACCTTCTATCACAATGGAAACTGTAAAATTTTGAATTTCCAATCACTTTCTGTTCCAGTGACGTTCACCAAGACCAATAGAGATGGTATATCACACTCACTGGAGACACAGACAATATTAAACGCCTAATAATGGCCACATGCTTCGCTTTCTTTATCAGATCAATGTGCAATTCATTCAAAATGATTGAATACGCAAACAGCAGAATAGCTTGTAAAAATAGTAACAGTTTTGGAAGACTAGCACTGTTTTACTCTGAAAATTTAGAAAACTAATTAAAGTAGAATAATGGCCTGCCATTTAAAAAAAATATTGTGCTACAGTACCTATTTATAGGTTCATCTGCATTTACAGTTTTCTCTTAGTCTCCCTACACAGTCCCTCAAATAACTGTTGAGCCTGCTGTGAAGTCCACCTAATTCCCCACATGGAGGAAAAATATATCTGAAATACATTTTAAAAATATTCTTCCCAAATATATTGACATATATTTGAAATACTACAATTTTGGCCATATTCAATATATATATAGATATGCTGTATTGTGAAATGCGTTTTATTACAAAATATATGAAAAATATTTTTAAAAATACATTTTCAAATATACTGTATGTCTTTAAAAATACAAATCTACAATTTTGGAATGCATTTACAAATATATGTAAAAATATATGTTAAAATGACTTTTTTATGTTAAAATCTGAAGAATATATTTAAAAATATATATATTTTTTTTACAAATATTTTTCATATATTTTGTAATATATGCAACATGCAGTATGTGTGTATATATATATATATATATATATATATATATATATTATTGAAATATATTTAAAAATATATTTCAAATATATTTTTCTTCCAAATGGGTCAGCTTCCTGTAATGGTGCAACAAAGATGCTGCACTGCTCCTGAATTCAGAGCAGAGTTGCCACTCTCTTGTAGGTTGTGCCTGCTTTCTGCTTTCACTACAGCTGGATAATAAAAGGTTGTAGAGGTTGTGGCTCTCAGTATTGTCAATGCTGATTCACTGTAGCTTTCAATCAGCACATAGCCACATGTAGTACTACCCCCTTTTACTGTTCTGGATTGACAGCACTGTCTCTGTTTGCAAAAGCCTGCTCACTGTGAGCTGCGGTGTCTGGGAGGGGATCATTTGAGACACAAATAAAAAAGGAATTGGTTCAGGAAAGGAAGGTAAAGGAAGTTTTTGTTTCCTTAATGTGGCTTGTGCATCACATAGTAACTTGATTTGTTATTTGCTTAGAGACTGTTATACAGAGTCTGTTACATACTTGATGGGAGACTGAATTGACGAGGTCGGCCTCACTTGTGTCACTAGCCCTGACCCCGTTGAAGTTGGAACAGAGGGAGTCTAGGGACCAGGGGGACAAGAGCACCAGAGGTTTGCTTGCAGCTCTTGCAGATGATGACCTTGGTAGGCAGGATATCCTCTGATTTAGGTACTGTAGCAATAGACCAGGCAGGTACAGTGGATTGCCAGATGCACAGCAAAGACAGGTTTGTAGCCAGGACTGACCATTCGAGAACTTGGGCACTGCCCGAGGGCCCAGGGTCAGTAGGGGGCCCCATGAAATGCCCCTGGTACCTTTTAATAGACTTTTTGGGTGTGTTTTGTGTGGGCAAGGACACAGGGGCCCCATGATCCCCTATTGCCCGGGGGCCCCATGAGTTGTCAATCCGCCCCTGGCCAGGACACAGGACTGGAGCAGAGTCGTAGGATAGCCAGGGTCATAACAGTCGGGCTGCGCGGTACAGGATCAGGAGGAAAAGCCAGAGTCAGGATCAGAGCCGAAGTCAGGAACCGGGGGCAGGAGAGTACTCAGAGTCGGGTCAGGAACAAAGAAGGTCAGCAACAAGGAAACGAACAGGAGCAAGCAGGACACGGGGGAGCTGAAGACCAGTCAGCACTGAATCTGGGCAGAGGCGCACCTTAAATAGCCCATCTGGCGCCAATCTTCGCCGTGCATGTGCACGTGTGCGTGCATGTGCGCGATCGCGCATTCCTGCGCGCCTGCACACAACCCACAATTCTTCTGTGGGATCTCTTTCGCGCATGCGCGTTCCCGATCGCGATTTTCCTTGCAGGAATTCTCTTACAGAGTCTTTAGTTGTGCTTTAACCTATCTAATACGCCTGACAGCATGTAACATACTGCTTATTACCTTTGATGTTAAGCAGATATTTGCCAACACTGTTTGCATTATGACATATTTACATGTATTTTACATACATTGGAATGGAGAAAAAAACCTGCTTGCAAATTCTGAATTGTGAAAGCCTCATGAGGCAGGTTAATCGATTCAAATAAATTAAGAAGGGAAAGAGGAGATGAGTGGTGAACACTAAAAGCAATTTTTTGAATTCCACCCTCTAATTAATCTATAATAATGGCACGTACATATTCCAAAAAAATCAAGCGGCTGTATTTCTGCCTTAGATCCTCCACGCCATCATTCACCATGTCGATAAGTGCAATTTCTTGGCTGTTACTGCCAGCAATTCCTGCAGAGTTAATAAAATTTGTGTTAGACCCAACTATGTATTTGTACACTTAAAGGAAACATTTTATATATTCTTAAAAAGTATGCTTTTTCACTTTGCTGTAATTTGCAATGTTTAATAAAAGCCATTTTTAGATATTACTTCCACATTTTGATTGACTGAAGCTATCCAAAAAAAGCACCCTGAAATAAAGAATTCTAAAAAGTATTCTTCAATTGTAAGCTCCAAGGAGCAGGGCCCTCCTAACCCTCTTGTATTGAACTGTATCATTGCTGTATTGTTTTCATTTATATTGTAAAGCACTAAACAAACTGTTGGCGCTATATAAATCCTGTATAATAATAATGCTCTCCAAAGGGGAGCAGCTATTGAAGTGTGGCTGATGATGAATATCCTTCCGCAGCTATATCTTAAGAAGAGTGAAGATCTGAGGAACGGACAAGAGGACAGGTCAATACAAAACTTTAGATTTTGAAGGTAACTTTGTTTTAAATTTTATTGGATAGAGTCACAGTTGACAGTATTCCTATAAGGAATTACTAGAAAGAAAATAAGCATTTTGCAGAAATCAGGAGATATTTTCAGTAAGATGATAACTTTGGAAAGGCAGTAAACTGATTTTAATAATCAGCAATTCATTTTACAGAGACCATGCTTTATTAAAGAAAATGTCTACTACTTGAAAAACTCAACCCTACATTTTAAAATGGAGTTTGGTCATGGGTTTTATTTTTAAACTCAAAATGGAAAAACATTGTGAGTACCCAGGACATATCTTGCACATACTGTATTAGAGACCTTTCACTCCAGGTGCAAGCCTGCTGGCCTAGTTGCCAGAAGCTGTCAGCAGTTGTTTTAGCACTGATCGCAACAACAGCTTTTCAGGAGTAGCTATTTAATATGTATCTATAGCTTATACAGGACTTGCTTAAGCAAGCATGAAGGTAGAGAAAAGGTAATTATTTACTTATTTGTGGTTTTAAAATTAATAGAATATTAAGTAACTCTTCAGAGACAATGCCACCAAAAGAAAGCCTAGTTTTTGTCCCCCAAATGTATATCACCTCTGTATCAAATAATAAAGTTATTGCCAAATTACCATGCCTATAGCTGAAACTAACAAAGAGAACTTATGTAATGGCATGTTTTTTACATTTGCCATTTTCCTTCTTCTGTTGCAAGCATCTTGCTGGAAAACCACCCCATGTGTTTATTTGTGGTGCTAGAAAGTCTATGCTTGCCAAGAGTTTTATATGCAATTAAAGAAATACTAAAGGTTCCTTTTTTTTCTTTTTGTAAAATAACAAACATGTTATATTTACCTGCTGTGTGCAGCCATGGCTTGGCCCCACCCCCTCTTTCTCCTCATTGGCTGACTGGCTGCGATTGACAGTAGCAGGAGCCCATTTGCTAACTTATCCAATGAGGAGGCAGAGACCCGAGACAACCGAGACTGTCATGTACATCACTGGATCTCGATGGGGCTCAGGTAAATATTGAGGGGGCTGGGGGAACTGCCGCACACAGAACGTTTTTTACCTTCATGCATAGAATGCATGAAGATAAAAAACCTTGAGTCTTTACAACCACTTTAAATAATAAAAAGATCTAAACTCTCACCTAATTTGTGTCCAAGGTACCTCAGGATAGTATTGCTCTGATACAGAACAAAGTCTCCATCTTGAAATCGAGGCAGTTGTCCAAAGACCTGCAGGAGACATCAGCTGTCATTATAGAGATAGAAAGGGTAAGAGTGTGATGGGGTAAAGATGTAGTGAGGGCTGGAAGACATAGGCAATCATAAATACAAACTCTGGGCTCACAATATTTTATGCATTTTTTAATATATACCTTTTTCCAGTCTTTAGGTCTGTCACGTTATTCTACAGGAACTTCTTCCTTTTTGATCTTCATCCAGCGATTGGTGGTCTTTGATTATGTAAAGAGCAGGGCTAACATGATTGTGTCAGTGTTGCATTCTCTATGGCACCATGGTAATACCTCTTCAGGGGGAGGCCCATGACACCCTGCACTCAGTCTGTCCTTCTCCACAGCCCTCCAGAATTATTGACACTGGGTGTTGTTCCACCCAGAAGGCTAACATTATAGTAGAAAGGGAATACTGTCATAGCAGCTCTGGATGAAAGGAGAGTATTGCCGCCTGATCTATAGTTTTTACCCTTTTGATGGGGATAATATTCTTATTAAAAAGCAGGAGTTTAGCAATAAGAAAGTATAGAAATTACTTACAGCTATTCACAGTTTTATCTACTTATCCAATAGGAGAGCAGATAATATGTCAGTAATAAACACCTCATAAACTATGTACCTGCTCTCACCACTACTTTATGCTATTTGATGGCATAAGATACACAGCATAGTTCAGGGAAAGTCCCACTATGCTAGGGGTGATAAGGTTTCTTGGTACAAACATGCAGAGAATAGAACATTAAAATATGTGAAATCAAGAGCCTCTAAATTTTACAAATAACAGAATCCCATTCCCAATAAATATGGCAGGTTCCTGCACCCAATAAACATTTACAAATTATGTAAGGAAAAATTTTTTGATAACCTGGGACCAATGCTGGGTATTTCCATACAAAATGTACCTTCATTTTTAATTTAAAAAAAAATGTATACACAGCATTTATGAGCACACTTATCTCTCCCATTAAAAACAAGGCAATGCTGTCTGAAAGTGTAAACTTGGAAGGTTTTTACCACCCTCTAAATCTCACATGGCATAGAAATACATATCAAATAATCCAGGAATATACACTCACTGACCACTTTATTAGGTACTCCTTATTATTGCCAAGAAAATATTCCCCCCACCATTACACCGCCACCTGCAGCCTGAACTGTTAATACAAGGCAGGATGGATTCATGCTGTCATGTTGTTTATGCCAAATTCTGACCATACCATCTGAATGTCACAGCAACCAGTCTGCCCATTCTGTTCTGACCTCTGACATCAACAAGGCATTTTCGTCCACTCAATTGTAGCTAACTGGATATATTCTCTTTTTCAGACCATTCTCTGTAAATCTTAGAGATGGTTGTGCATGAAAATCCCAGTAGATCAGCACTTTTTGAAATGCTCAGACCAGCCCGTCTGGCACCAACAACCATGCCACGTTCAAAGTCACTTAAATGCCCTTTCTTCCCCATTCTAATGCTCGGTTTGAACTTCAATACGTCGTCTTCACCAAGTCTACATGTCTAAATGCATTGAGTTAGCTGCCAATTTGAGTTCGCAATTTGTGTTACCAAGGAATTGAACAGGTGTACCTAATAAAGTCGCCGGTGAGTGTAATTCCTCAATTAAATATTTCCAAATAGTATATTGTAGTAAACTCCATACATATGGTTCCATTAAATGTGGATTGTAAGTACTTGTTATTATACAGTCTGTTCATGATACATCAATTCTCATTAGCATACATATTATGAATGAATGTAGGTAATTATCCTGGTTTGCACACAAAATCCTGACATATTTCCTCTCTCCCTTTGATCGAATGTGTTAACCCTATGGTGTATTAATGATATTTTCTCATATGCTAATGTTTCTCATGCCTGAGGTTTACATTCCACGACTGCCTCAGTTCCCACAGGAGATGTGTCTTCCAGGGAGTGTACAGTATATACACCCGAATTCCTGCACACTACCATACAAACATTTCTGTAGTATAGTATAGTGTTTATGACAGCCAATTCCGACTGAAGGTGCAAGCTAAAAAATGTTTATCTTATGTGAACATAACATACAACTTTAATTTAATGTGTACAGTAATCGTACGAAAATAATTGAATAGAGAAAAATTCACATGATCAGAAGCAAAGAACGACCCTACTCTTTCTCTTCTCCTATGCTAGTATGTAGCTATGTTTACCTTTGTCAGCTGAGAATTTTCTTACAAGTCAATACCATTATGACTACATCATGATATGCGCTATCTTCAGATGATCTTCAGATGATCATTTGTATGATTTTGTCATAGTGTGTACTAGGCTTAACGCAGGCCATACATTATTATTGCATTTATTTCTCTCCCTCATTACTTTGGTGTTGTTTTGTGCTTTTCCCACAGGCAGATTACAAAGACTACTGCTCGCAGTTATAGCCGCCAGCAGTGACTGGGCAAAAAACCCCAACAGGCTGGTTGTACTGAAGTCAATTGATAGATCGACTTCAGTACAAACAGCCTGACCATAGATGGATCGAAATATTGTCTGGTTCGTGCTGATTTCCATCCGTCTATGCCTGGTTTAAATGAACATTGTGTTTGTAGTACAAATCACTCTTCAACAAACGTAGTTTAATGAACAAATAAATATATGCAGTGCCTCCGACTTGCACACAGTATGGGCTAATCCTCTCTTCTTTAATAATGACAAGTAATGTGCTTATTTTTACTTGTAACTACCGTATCCCATGTCCGAGATTTACATTTCATAACTGCCAGAATTCCTCCAAGAGACATTGCCCTAAGAAAGAGAGATATTTCTGTTCATATCACGTTACTCCTCTTTGACAGACATGTGATTCAATGAATGAATAAACAGTGCCTATGGCTAAATCTGGCCATACACTGACCAAATTTGACTGGTTCAACAACAATGTACAGCTAGTCAGGCATAGAGTCCCATAGAAACAATTGCAACGTACTTAGTGAAACAGCAATGGACCGGTGTATATTATTTAGTCTGTGTGAAAGTTAAAAGTCTACAAGCTATGGCACCAAATCATTGCAAATTGATCACACATGAAGCAACTGATGGCCTATTTCATTTCTTGAGGCCCTAACATGCTAGGAAAGTACAAATAGCCCCCAAAAGACCCCTTTTTGGAAAATAGAACAGTCCAAAGTATTTAGTAAAAGACATGGTGAGTTATTTGAAGTTGTAATTTTTTCCCACAATTCTTTGGAAAATGAATAAATTATTATTTTTTTTTTTTTTTCACGCATAATTGCCAAAATAAAAGTTATTTCTCACACCTGGCATAGACATACTTGCAATTGCCCCCAAAAATGCATTCTGCTACTCCTTCTGAGTATGGCGATACCACATGTGTGAGACTTTTTCCGCAGCTTGGCCACATACAGAGACCCAACATCCAAGTAGCACCTCCATGCATTCTAGGAGCATAAAAGGGGCATAAATTACACATCTAATTTCCTGACTCCCTATCACAGTTTTGAAGGCCCTGGAGCACCAGGACAGTGGAAATACCCACAAAATGACCCCATTTTGCAAAGCAAACATCCCAAGGTATATTCTATCAGGCATAATGAGTCTTTTGAACGGGTTATTTTTTTCCAAAATGTTTTTTAGAAAATGTGGAAAGAAAAATGAAAACTTTTTTTTTTCACACAAAGTTGTCAATTTCTAATGATATTTCTAACAACAGCATGTACATACCAAAATTATGCCCCAAAAATGCATTCTGCTACTCCTTCTGAGTATGGCGCATACCACATGTGTGAGACTTTTTCCGCAGCTTGGTCCACATACAGAGACCCAACATCCAAGTAGCACTCTTCCATGCATTCTAGGAGCATAAAGGGCGCATAAATTACCCATCTAATTTCCCTGACTCCCATATCACAGTTTTGAAGGCCCTGGAGCACCAGGATGGTAGAACACCCACAAAATGACCCCATTTTGGACAGCAAACATCCCAAGGTATATTCTATCAGGCATAATGGAGTCTTTTGAACGGGTTATTTTTTTTTCCAAAATGTTTTTTAAAAATGTGGGAAAGCAAAAATGAAAACTTTTTTTTTTTTTTTCACAAAGTTGTCAATTTCTAAGATATTTCTAACACCAGCATGTACACTACAAGAATTAATGCCCCAAAATGCATTCCTGCTACTCTTTGATGTCATGGCGATCCACATGTTGTGAGACTTTTCCGCAGCTTGGCCACATTACAGAGACCCAACATCCAAGTAGCACCCTCCTGTGCATTCTAGGACATAAAAGGGGCATAAATTACACATCTAATTTCCTAACTCCCTATCACATTTCTGAAGGCCCTTGGAGCACCATGCTATGGTAGAATAACAACCCACAAAATTACCTCATTTGAGAAAGCAAACATCCCCAGGTATATTCATATTCAGGCATAATGAGTCTTTTGAACGGGTCATTTTTTTCGCAAATGTTTTTAGAAAATGTGGAAAAGAAAAATGAAAACTTTTTTTTTCACACAAAGTTGTCAATTTCTAAGATATTTCTAACACACAAAACATGTACATACCAAGAATTATGCCCACGGGGGGGGGGTATACACAAAATGCATTCTGCTACTCCCTTCTGAGTATGCGCGTGAATAACCACATTTGTGAGACTTTTCCTATCTGCTTGACCACCATACAGATGGACCCAACATCCAAGTAGCCCACCTCCATGCATTCTAGGGAGCATAAAAGGGGCATAAATTACACGATCATAATTTCCTAACTCCCTATCACTCAGTTTTTGAAGGCCTTGGAGCACCAGGATGGTATGAAACACCGAGCCAACATAATTTTACCCCATTTTGGAAAGATAAACATCCCAAAGTATATTCAATGCAAGCATAATGAGGTCTTTTAGAAACGGGTTATTTTTTTCCAAATGTTTTAGAGAAAAGTTGGAGAAGAGAATAATTGAAAACTTTTTATTTATTCACACAAAGTTGTCAATTTCTAAGA